AGACGATAGCGTGTCATCACTTTACTGGCCGGTTTAAATTCTGGCGCGTTTATTCTGGCCAGAAACCTACGACTTTGATCTGTTGTTTGTTTTTGTCTGTTGATAAACTAACACCCAGTGCAGTTGTCCAGAAGGAGGAAGTCAGAAATTCATGATTCTGGGTTCGATCCCAGGTGTGACCCTCTGGCATTCTTTCCCTTTGTTTTCACTCGATCCAACGCCTACATCTGCTGGGAGTCAGCTTCTGATTTCACCAACCAGGACCAGATCAAGCATCCCCTGGGCATCATCCCCTGGATCCATCAGTCCCAGCCAGATCCAGCGCACCTCATCTTCTCACGGTCATAATCTGCTGGATTCACTAGCCAGAAGCAGGTCCAGTATCACCATCCTCTAGACCATCATCTTCTGGTCACCATCATCTTCTTGTCACCACCATCTTCTGGATCATCATCCTCTGATCAGAGCCGCTGATACCAGGCCACTTTTTCTTTTATTCTTTTATATTCCTTTATTTAATTTACTTATTTATTTTTACTAACATAAAATCAATTCTTTTTTATAAAAAAATCACAAAAATAATATTTTCATCCAATTAGACTTAGAATTTATTTTTTATACAAAAATTAATTTAATTAGTTTATTCAAATTTAAGGTAACTTAAATTCTTTTGTAAATAAATAAATAAAACAATTAGAAAATTAGGGTTTTAGTTTAATTTAAATTCCATTTTCTTTCTCTTAAAAAATAACCAAAAATATAAAAATAGGTCATGTAAATTATTTTCTTTAGTTAATTTAATTACTAATTAGATTTATATTTAATTTAAAAACCTTTTTCCTTTTTTTTTAAAAAATGATTAAAAAACAACAAAAATATTTGTTTCTTTCGATTAAGTTAGACGGCGTCAAAACCCTATTTCTCTCCCGTTCTCGATTCATCGCGCTTTATTATTTTTACCATATTGATGTAATTGCTCACAAGTTGTAATAGATTAATTAGGACTCTTTTCGTTCATTTTTCGTTTTGTTTTTACGAGTTGTTTTTGGCTATGTAATTAATACCCGAAGCCTTGTAATAGCTTAGCTTTACTTTCCGCACTTTAAATTCCACAAACTATTAACTGTTAGATGTACGAATAATAGGGATGCATGACAAGAATGTATGATAAAATTAAAGCAGTTAGCAAACCCTAAATGTGCAAAGATAATAAACTTGAAACTGAATCACTCGCACATGCGCACTTCTAGGGTATACCCTCACTTCGGTTTCCTTCGGTGAACGATCATTAAGTATAGGGTATTTTAGTGTTTGCTTTCTTGTCTAAACAAAAGATCAAGGCCCCGCTCGGAAAAGTTGCCTCAGAAATGTTGCCTCGGAATTGTTGCCTCGAATAATTGATCTAAGACATTAGGGTTATTACTAAGACGTCCTAACATTGCTTTAGTGATCATACGTCCCTTTCGAATTGACCCTTTAAACTCCAACGACGGTGCTACCTACTCACTAATAGTAGGATAACATTGTCTAAAGGAATCAAACATAGAACAATTCTTTTTTCGAGTAGGTGGATTAGTTCTTAAGTACTTGCTCAAAACAAACAAACTTTTTTCACAATTACACTTTTTCCAAACAAAGTTTTCAAAACGACTTCATAACACTCTTGAAGACAGAAGTAAGAGTTAAATTGAAGTAAAACAAAAACTTTTTCAAATCAAACACACATACACAAGCAATTTTAAAATGATGAGCGAGTACCTAAGAGCCCGTAGAAAACTACGGATAGAAAGGGTGCTAATACCTTCCCTTTCTATAATCTACCCCCGTGCTCAGAAACATCTCGAAAAAGGATTTTTTCTGTACTTTTTTCCTTTCCGATTGGATGAAATAAAATTCGGTGGCAACTCTTGCTTACTGCGACATTTTGCGAACACAAACACAAAACGCAAACCAGCATTTTCCTAAAACAGCCCGGTTCTGCCACCATATCACAGAACTGACGACTCTGCTGGGGAGAATAAGTGGGGTATACCTTAGGATTAGTGCATCATATTTTCTTTTATTGTTTGATTTGATTGCTTTATTTTTGTGGGCTTTGTATCGGGAGTTACTATAGATCCTAACCCGGATCAGGGGAACACCTGTTAGGTAAGTAGCAATAAACTGTGAGGGAACTGTACGGCGTAGACCGATACGGTTGAAGTAGTAACTATGTTGATGTGGAACATTGGTTGGTACCGGTATCCCTTGTGGAGAAACAAGGAGAATACGGGGCTGCTATATGGCTTGTTAAGCATTAACTAACCTTAGAACCTATAATTGACCAACTTGGCCATAGGAAGTAGTGAGATAGACGGTCTCGGTGTAAAGCTGGGAACTGGTTGATACTCGATACTACACTCATTGAGACCATACTCTTGAGATAGTTCCAACCGCAAGAAAAGATTGCGTGAGCTGAAACCATGACCGATGGAGGATGGTCAGTGATATTGAGAACCTCTAGAACCCGATTACTATTATTAGTACAGGTTGAAACCAACTGAACTTCAAGAGGGTAGTACCTAGACCTCATGCAAGCCTGAGACTTACGGGTTCTTGTGTGACTTATGTGCCTTTACCATGTTTGTTACCTGCTATACTTGTTGTGTATTTTATCATGACATCATGCATCATGACATAACATGCATACTTCATTAGACTAACCATTTCAAAGACCGAGGGGATTTATCTTTGTTCTGTTTAGCATATTATGGCTTCCATACACAGAAATACCATTCGAGTTAACTTCGTGCAAATGCATGTCCAACTCAGAGAGTTAGTCTCAAAAGTTCTTGATACTTCTTCATTCGTTAGAAGACATGGTCACCTCCTTAGCCTGGTCACTTCAAAGTTGGAAGAGAAAATGATGAGCGTCCTTTTCCAGTTCTTTGATCCGTTGCATCATTGTTTCACCTTCCCGGATTATCAGCTAGTTCCTACTTTGGAGGAGTTTTCTTACTTACTGGGCATATCCATTCTCGAGCAGACACCCTTAACAGGTTTGGAAGAGACTCCTAGACCTGAGGACATTGCTTCAGCCTTACATCTAAAAAGGGTTGATGTAGTATCTGTTGTACCCCAATTTTTGACCTAAGATCCCATTTATATTTTTGCATTTTTTAAGATAAGTCAAGGTCATAAAATACGGTCGGTTTTAATGTCTCACCTTCGAGCTTTGACTATGCGAAGATTGTCAAGTGTTTTAAACATTTTTAACATATGTATCACTAATTTCTAATCGCATACAAAGGTGTATGTTCATGTTTTCTTTTGTGTCATGTGCAGAGACAGGTCTGGATCAAGAGCATCAAGTGTCACACCTCAATTAAGGTTTTGAGTCTCCCAAGCCAAAATTACGGTTGATTGTGGATTCTCGAAGACTGATTCATCAAGGCACAACTGTTGCACCCTAAATTTCGCCACTAATATGTTTTAGTCGCACTTTCATATCATATTTTGTTATTTGGTCACAATCATTAGTAAACATCTTCATTCATCACATTTTGCATCATTAGTCGTATTTAAGTTGACCAGAAAAAGTCAGTTTAAATCAAAGTTTGCATCGTCCTTCAGTTGTAAAATACCCGACCTTTCACTTCATTCATTTTTATCTGTTTACTATTTTTCTTGCACTGCTCTAAGTTGTTTATATGTCGATAATAAAATATTTCGGTTTTATAGACAGACTGTTAGAAGCGATTCGACACTATGCGGGAAAGTAGCGAGAAAATATTTCAAGTTTTCACCTTTTACCGATCATTTTATGAATCTGCGCTTCGCCTAGATTATGACGGTATGCTCGCTTTATTTTTTCGGTACAGTTCGAAGTCTCGTTTTTAACCTTAAACGTCTGTTTAGTCTGATATTTTTATTATTATTTTATTTTTGATTTTTTGACTTCTTGAATATTTTTTTTAATCTTTGTGACATGTAGATTATTTTAATGTGTTCATTTTATTTTTTCGGATACATTTTCGTCCGTTTTTTATTTTCGGTCTTTATTTTTTATTCATAAAATATTAAAAAAAAATCATTTTAAATTGAGTTATTTTTTATAATTTCAGGTTTTTATTTTATTTTTGTCATTCACGGGATTTTTGGTCACAAAATATTTATTGATTATACTATGCTTGATTCCTATTGGTTGTTAACACATGTTTCTGATAACTAAATTTGCCAATGGAATTGAAAGAAAAGCAACGGATGTGATTTACTTTGATATCATATTTTTTCCTCTTATTTTTTTCTATTTAATAGCTTTGGTTCTTTGTAAAGAAAAAAAACACAAAACAAATAACACTTACAGTAGCTCTTCATCTATTCTCTCTAATTCTCTATTCAATTTCTCTTCCCAATTTCCTCAGTTCAAAACCCACGCATTCCTAATTCCCTTCACCCTCTCTCCACGAACAACAAGCATAAGCAGTAAACCCATTCCACCAGCTATCACCAATCTCCCTTCAATTCCTCTACCACCTATCACCGCCGGTACACAATCCAGCATACTCACCTCACTGTTTCACCAACATAAAAAGTCCCTAATATCTTCAATATGCAACAACAACACAATCAACAACCCAGTCCACCCCCTCTACCCCACGGCTACCACTCTCATCTTCATCTTCTCCTTTTTCCTTCTCCCCCAAACCCCTTTTTGGTCTTTCCTCCCCTTCCTCACTTTCCAGTTCCTCTTCTCCGTTTCCCTCTCCTTCGTCTCTTCACCTTCCTCCCACCCCATTTTTCTCAACTTCAAGCTCTCACTCACTTTCCTTCTCTTCATCACCGCCTCAACCTTTTCCGGTTCCGTTGCGGCGCTTTCTTTATCCGGATTTAACGATTCTGGAAGAGTTGGGTTAAGGGGTTTCCTTGCTGGTTTGATTTTTGGGTTTCATTATGTTTTTAAGCGTCGTTGGGTTTTGGAGTTTCCCATTATTCAGCGTCCTCCTTTCTTCAACTTCAAGATGGGGATTCCTTTGGCTGCTAAACGTGCTTTTAAGCTTTCCACTGTTGCTTTCATTTTTTCTGCTCTTTTGTTAGAGATTATTCCTCACCCTTTTAAGTGCAGCATTGCTACACATAAATTCTTTGTTGAACAGATTGTGTTCTTTGTTGGTAGTTTTGCTATCTTTTTCTGCTGGGAGTTGACTCATAATTTACATCGGGTTTTACATACTAAAAGATCCGTATTTGCGCCCCCAAAAGGATCAGCAGCTGCAGAAACAAATCCAAGCGAGCATCTCCTTTCAGCCTTGGAGGAGAGTAATCCAAAATCTCTTCTTCGATATCTTGCTTACCTTGATCTTTGTATGGTTTGTGAGAACAATGTTGACACTTGGCGTCGTGCGGCATTTTTCGAAGAATCCGGCGAAACTTACAAGAGAGTAATTGCTGTGTGCTTGAGGCCTCTGGAGCAACTTGCCTCAAGATTAGGTGAGAGCATGAGTGATTCTACTGACAAACCCACCTCTCTATTATGAACTTTAAATGGAATCTCAACATTCGTAGCTTACTGCCATCACTATATTTCATCTACCTCTGTTCATGAACCCACCTACTATTCCCCCTCCAATAATTATTAGTTATACCCTCTCAATTTGTTTATTTTAAATAATAATTAGTTTAGTTAATCTAGTTATTTGTAGATTTAATTAAACAACTATGTTTTAGTTAACTAGATGATCTTAATTATTTATATTAGTTTTAGACTTAATTTAATAACTTTAGAATTTTAATTTAATTAGATATAAATTAGTAATGTTAGAACCTTTAATTAGTTTAGGTATATTTTGATAACTTAAAAATTTTAATTTGTTTAGATCTATTTTATAACTTTAGAACTTCCAATTAGTTTAGATATATTTTGATAACTTTAGAATTTTAATTTAATCTTAGAATTTTAATCTTTAATTTAGAATTAATTTAGTTTTGATTTAAGTTAGTAATTTTATTATTAATATAGTTTAGATTAAATTAGTAATTTTATAATGAATTTAGTTTATACTTAAACTAGTTTAGATGTAATTTAGAAACTTAAGAATTAATTTAGTTTAGACCTAATTCAATAATATTAGAGTGTTAATTTATTTTAGATTTAATTTAATAACTTGTGAATTTCAGTTTGTAACTTTAGAATTTTAATTTAGTTTTAGTCAATAACTTCAAAATTTTATTAGACACTTTATAATTTAAGTTTAGTTTACTTAGTAACCTTAGAATTTCAAATTAGTCTAGATAATTTTTTAATTACACTTTTCTTTTATTCATGATTCTTCTTTGTCCATTCATTTAGTTTCTTACAATTTATCTTGTTATCTACCTTGTTCGTTTCTCGTGGATTTTAACTATTTATGATTTCTTACTCGAATATTAGATCTACCCACTTATGATTAATTCCAAGGGAAATGTTTCAACTCAGCTGACTTCATGTCATCAAATACGTCTTCTACAATCGTGCGAATAACCTCATTCATTTTTTGCTTGTTTACTATTTTTCCAAACTTAAGATAATTTTCCCAAAAGACTTCATTTTCAAAGTCATACCTTTTAAGTCAAAACTTCGACATTAGGTTATTACATCTTCAAAATCTCGCCAACACTTACTTTTAACCAAACGAACCATTTTAATCAAACAAACAATTTTAACCAAAAAACGGATATTTCAAAAGGTTCCTGCGGAGTACCGCAGATGCATTGGGTGCTAATACCTTCCCATTGTATAACCAACCCCCGAACTCTCAATCTCTTTCAAAAACGCATTGTATTTTTATTACTTTTAAGTATTATTTTACATTGCATATTTTAGGGTTTTATTTCGCTCTTTTCCCTTTTCCCTTAGAAATAATAAAGCGCGGTGGCGACTCTTGCTTTTGTGAGTCAAGTTAATTAATAGCTTGATCTCCGATTTTCACCGCTACAATATCCAACTGGGAGACACAGAGCGGGGTTAAAGGTTTCTTGGATAAGTTTCTGATCGATCAAGCTCAACAGTTCTGGGATAACTTGGATTTTCAAGCTTTCGAAGACATCTTAGCTCTCCTCATCTACGACTTGGTTCTTTTCCCGAATCCAGTTTCCTTCATAGATGTGAATGCGGTCAAGATCTTGTTGTCTCGTAATCCAGTACCTACTCTTCTGGGTGATATTCTACATGCCCTTTACACTCGTACTGTGTGAAGAAGGGGGACCCTTATGTGTTGCACGCCGCTTCTGGCGAGGTGGTTTATTTCGCACCTCCCTAAGTCCGTATTGAAGAATGAGGAAGGTGTAGGTTGGGCTTACAGAATCATGTACCTTGCTCATAAGGACATTCTTTGGAGTTCTAAGGATATGGAAAGAGTAGTTATCATTGATCGATATGGGGAATACCCTAATGTCCCGTTGCTTGGAATTAGAGGGGGTATAACCTACAGTCCTTATTTAGCTTTGCGGAACTTCGGTCGTGCTCGGAGAGACGGTCCCCATGAGTTGCTTCTTACAGATATTGTCTTTGACTATAAGGAGGACGTTAAAGAGCGCCACCGAAGGTTTATACGAGCCTGGGGCATGGTGAACAGGTCTGACCCTCAAGAGCTAGGGTTAAAGACTTCTATCCCTATGCAACCTTATCTCCAGTGGGTTCGAGCCCGTGCCCAAAAGCTTGGGATACCTTACGAAGCTGTGTTGCCAGTGATTGTGGAGCATACTAATGAAGAAGGGGTTCCTTATACAATGCTTTATCCCTACATGCCTACTGATCTTGGGGCATTGAAGAGGTCATGGATTCAGCTGAAGGAGGAAAGGGATACCTACCGAGAGAAGTATCATGAGCAAGAGAGGAAGATCTTGAAGCTTACAAGGAAGCTTGAGAATGAAAGAACGATCAACGATTATGTCAGCACGAAGGGAAAACGACCATGGGATTTCTGGTTTCTGCTTGTTTCTAGTTTAGATTTGTTTTCAGTTTATTTCTTTTGTAACGCCTTAAAGGCATTGTTAAACATTTTTACAAGTTTGAAACTAATAAAGTTTGTTTATTTCTTGGTTCACAAATTTAAATATCCTAAAGTCTTTGAAATCATTTCATACGCATTTCATTGTCACGCACCTCATTATAGGTATCATCACAGGTACCATTACAGGTTTCTCATCTTCTTCGCTGTTTATTTCAGCACAAAATGTCTTCTGAAACACCTGCCGATCAAGCCATTAAAGCCCTTCAAGTACAGAATGCTCAATTTCAAGAGTTGTTCTTGAACTTGGCTAAAGGACAACAAGATTTGAAGACTCTCATCCTAAAAGAGAAGAAAAAGAAGAAAAAGAAGAAAAAGAAGAAGAAGGTGGTTCTTCTGAAAATGGGTCACATATTTGGGAATAGGTTGCGACAGGAAGCTGATCTGTCTCATTCATCTAGAGGAGGAGAGAATCAAGAGGAAGGAAAGGGTCCTAGTGTTGTGGTCTCTAGTAATGACAGTGATTTTGATGAAGAATAGTATCCTCCTGCTGAGGATAAGTATAAGCAACTTGAAGACCAGTTGAGTGCAATGGAGATTCAGAAGATACCTCAGTTGGACTTTGGAGATCTGGGATTAGCATCTGGGGTGGTGATCCCTCACAAGTTTAAAACTCCTATTTTATCTAAATATGATGGGGTATCCTGCCCGAAGCTCCATCTTCGCTCATACGTCAGAAAAATTCAACCCTACACTGCCGATAGAAACCTGTGGGTTCATTTCTTTCAAGATAGTCTGTAGGGACTCAGCTTGAATGGTTTTATCAATTGGGAGGAGCTAACATCCGCAACTGGGAGGACCTTGCTGCTGCTTTTTACAAGCAATACCAGTATAACACCTACCTTGCTCCCACGCGTACTCAACTTCAGGGTATGTCTATGGGTGCAGGCGAAGGCTTTAAGGACTATGCTCAGAAGTGGAGAGATCTGGCTGGAAGAGTCCAACCCCCTCTGTCTGATAGGGAGTTGGTGGACATGTTTCTTGGGACTTTGTCTGGTCCATTTTTCAATCACTTGATCGATAGTTCATCATTCGGGTTTACTGAATTGATTTTGACTGGGGAGAGGGTAGAAGTTGGTATCAGAAGTGGTAAAATACAGAAAGGTGCTTTATCAAGTACAGAAAGGAAGCCTTTCAAGAAAGAAGCTAGTGCAGTTTATAGCTCAAGGAGCCAAGACCGACCTGAACGCCGCCAAGCAGTGAATGCGGTAGTAATATCAAGACCCACCGTTGCCCCACAATGCAACAATCAGAAAAGAGTAGAGAGACCGCAAAGACAGTATACTCGGCTCAGTATGACCTTATCTCAAATTCTTCTGCAACTGTTGAAGACTAACCTGATAACTCTGAGGGAAGCCCCGAAGAATCCCAACACCACATCTCCGCTATATAATCCAAACGCCCGCTGCACCTATCACTCTGATAGTCCAGGGCATGATACAAACAACAGCTGGGCCCTGAGGAATAAGGTACAAGATTTGATTGAAGCTAAAGAAATTGACTTTAATGCACCGGAAAAGCCTAATGTTATGACTGCTCCTATGCCCAAGCATGGAGTAAATTCTGTAGACGATGATTCATTTGTGACCTCTGTGGAAGACATTTCTACTCCGTTGATGACAGTAAAGAAGAACCTATTGTTGGCCGATTTATTTCCGGGCTATGGCGAAGGTTTCCACCTATGTTCAATCCTTCCTGCTGGATGCCATTTGTTGAAATCAGGTGTTCAACGCCTGATGGATAACAAAGAGATCCTGTTCGAGAAAACTTTGACTCCATTGATTCCTGTTGAAGATGTTTCCATCATAACCATTTCCGCCAATCCTTCCAAGGCTTCCTAGAGAAAGCTTGTTAGGGTTACATCCGTTCCAAGAGTTGCTCCATTCATCATTACTATTCCTGGTCCAATCCCATACACTTCAGATAAAGCTATCCCGTGGCACTATGGGGCCGATGTGTATTATCATGGGATCAAACAAGACTTGAAAGTTGAAGAAGCTGATGCTGATGTCAGCAATATTGTCGGGGCTAGCAAGGTCACCTGAAGCATAAGACTTTTCTCTCCTGAGATTTCCCCTCCAACTGTTCAAAAGCCTGTTGTTATTCCATCTGCCATTACATCAGCTACTGTCTCGGTTCATATTCCAATTATCACCCCTGTCGCCGAGCCGTCTAACACTTAGGGAAAATAAGTCATAGGTGAGTCTGCCTGGGTGGAGGCACCTAAGAAGATTGTTGTAGAAACCTCTAGACATGAGATAGAGGAAATTCTGAAGATTATCAAGAAGAGCGACTACAATGTAGTCGAGCAACTGGGGCATACCCCGTCAAAGATCTCCATGTTATCCTTATTGTTGTGCTCGGAAGCCCATGCAAAGACTTTAATTGCTTTCCTTAAAACAGCACATGTGCCGCAGGAAACACCTGCTGATCAATTCAAAGTCTGTGTAGCTAGCTTGACCGCTGACAACGAGTTGGGTTTCTCCGAC